ATTTTATTATTATTATTATCATCATTTTATTTCAATTATTAAACTGTTTTTATCTCAGCCCATGACTTTTTCTCACTTGTGCTCTTCCAATTCTCTCCCCCATCCCACCGGGTGGAGGGGAGTGAGTGAGCGGCTGCGTGGTGCTTAGTTACCGACTGAAATTAAACCATGACACTGTCCTTCAAGAGAAAAATCTGCCCAGCAGTATCTCATTATGATGCTGTGATAGTAGCACTAGGATTCATCCACTACATCTTAAGTTCCAGAGCCTGGCATGTCTGTTAGATTGAGACTTCTACAACTTCTTGCTTTAACTTACAATAATTTTATGTCATGCTTGTGACGTTCAAGTTACCATACATTTGTTGATAGTTAATAGCAGGTGACCTTCTGCTTCAGGTGCTAAATGAAGTTACTCTTTGCTTGACCTGCTGTCCCAACAGACATTTGTGCTTGGTTTGTCAGTCACTTTTTCTGCTGACATCACCGAGGTAAGCCCTGCTCCCATGGTGAAGTAAATCACGGCAACTGCAACTAGCACAACACAAAATACGAGCCTAAGATTCATGCCTTTGCTATTTTCCCTTTTATTTCAACTTCCCAGTGAGCTAGCAGCAGTTCAGAAAACCTAGCTACTTTTGAAGTCTACTGCATTTAGTAAAGATAACTTACTCATCAGCAACTGTTAGTAGAAATTCTGCCAAATATGGGCTGAAGAATAACAATGATATGTCACAAGGTTAATTTACTGCAAGCCAAACAAAATTATTTATAGACTACAGCTTGTGCTTTTGCATTATTATTTCTTAGCACAATGTTTCAAAGATTTAGGGCCCCATCTCTCAGGCTGGATGCCACTGGCATTGGGATGGGGGGAGGAAGGGGAATCTGTACCCAGTGAGATGCCCAGTGACAACCCGAATGACACGATGCACACATTGAACCAGCCAGTGACAAACCACAGTGTCGGGGGTTACAGCCTTCTGAACTCCTGATAAAGCCACATATGACTCAGAAATATTTTTCAAATACAGCTTGGTACTGTAAAACAAATTGCAGGTAAGAAGGCCATGACACGGTACATTAGATCCGTGATAGAAACAAGCCAAGCGGTCCCTGCTAAGACACCAGCTCTCAGTCATGTAGAAGGGATCAATACCAATGAAATCGTGTGCTGAAATGTGTCTTGTCTGCTATCCTTTTAATTCAAATTTTGGTTTTGTCTATCAGCGTTGCACTGGTGTAAAAAAATAATTGGCTCAAAATTCAATTATATGCATTCTTAATTTGAGTCACACTGAGCTTATTAGTTTAGGTTCATTAGATAAAGAATCAGAACTGACATTAGTAATGAAAAAATATGTTTGAAATTACACTATTAAATTTGTGCAAACACCTGAGTTTCTAAGAAAAGTGACCATCAAATATAAGGAACTTCATATACCTCATCCTAATAAAAATTAAAATGATCAACAAAATAAAAAATTCTTATTAACGTACAAGTGATCCTAATTTGATCACTTTTGTAATAAAAAACAGAAAAGTGGGCAAATCAATAATATAATTAGCTACTACTTTTAAAAAGTGATTTTCATAAAACTCAAAATAACGATAAGTCCCTTGAGGCCCTTGAGGAAAGGACCCAAACCAAAAAAATATAAATTAGGAGTTGCTAATGAACATTCAATCAGTTAACCCTTAAAAAGCAATCAGGACAAAACCCAAATGTATTTAAAATGCCATACTAGTGTAGTGGGAAAGTGAAAATAAATTTAACAGCCTGAACAGTGCATTGTATTGATAAGAAAGGAAAAGATAATATTGCTTTGTTAATTAAATCTAGGAATTAAAGAAAACATAAGTGATGATGAGAAAATTTTGCCAACAGAAAGAAACAGGGAATTGAATGTAGGTGCAAGGCAAATTCTAACAATGATGCTACTAAAGAGAAATATAAGAATTGTTAACAGTGCTTTAAAAAAGTGTTCAATAAATAGCTTTGTATTCTGGGGAAATAGGTAAATATTATCATACAGGACAAAGATTAAATACTTTCCATTAACAGTGTACTTTATGAGAAATTTAAGTACCAGTAGTAAATCTAGGTAATTTGTATCAGTAAGCCAGGATAACCTGCATACAGGTTTTTAAAAGAGCTTTTTGGAACCTCTTTTCAATCTCTAGTTATGACTTTCAGTAAATCTTGGGAGTTCCAAAGAACAGGAAGAAAGTTAATATGTGACTATGTTAAAAGAAGGTAGAAGGGATGACCCAGATTAATTACATGCCTGCCATCTTGACTGTAATCCTCAGCAAAATATGAGCGACTCATATAGGACTAAATTAATAAAGGTTTGAGTAAGACATTTCCAGAAAACAGATCTCGTAACGCTATTATTGTGGTGTCTCCTCTTTATGCAAATGTTTATTTGATAAAAATAACAGTGATGTTATATCCTTAAGCTTTGGTTTGGCATTTGACCCGGTACGGCAAAACATTTTAATTAAAAAAACTAGACAGATTAAAAAAATCAGAATGTCACACAGTAAGTGGACTGTGAGTAATTGGCAGGCCTCAAAACACAGAAGAGGAACAATGATCAGCAAACACTTCCGTGAGTGATTCAGATCCTCCGGGGACCAGTTTTGACTGTCTGCTATTCTTTTTTATCAGTGATCTTGAAGAAGCTATACTGGATTATCACCAAGTCACATTAGCAGATGATGCAAGAATTGGTGGTGTGGGAAACAATAGAGGCTAGTCACTTACAAAGTGACTCAGAGCTCTTGGTAAACAGGGTGCACCTAAAAAAAAAGTTTATATTGCTATATATATTTATATAAACATTTTATTTATATCTTAGATACAGATTATATATATTTTATCCAAAATATATGTCTCTATATATCTCAATAGGGCCAAATGCAACATCCTAATTGTGGACTAAAAAGTATAGACCATCCTTGCATCACGAGCACCTTTATTCTGCAATAAAATACTCGGAAACATACATGGGATTTAGCCTTGACAAGTAGTTTTTTGAGTTTTTGGTGTGCCACATTTGAAAGGGCTAAAGGTTTGAAAAGATGCTCATGGACAGCAGAGCCGAGGGACTCCCATCTCCTCAGTCTGAAGTCGGGACTAGAGAGCTCACCTGAGCTTAGCTGATGAGTACGTATACACAGACAGAGATATTTCTGGGGGGCTTCAGTAGCAATCGGACACGGTCTTATGGCTAAAAATGGAATTAAGCATACTTAAGGTTGTAAGTAAGGCACTTTTCAAGAAAAAAACCGCTAATTTAAGAGAGCGCAGTACCCAGCCCCTGGGTTATGGCACGGCGGTCACCGGCCGGCCCCTCTCCCGGAGCGTAGGAGCAACCGTTCTCCACA